ACGGAAGTGTCGTAAATAGATATTTTAACAATACATGAATGTGATTCAGTGCTAGTGATATTGATTCGACAATAATTCGGAGTACTTATCAGAAAAACGATTTTTATCGGTATTTTGTGAAGTGTTAAAAGTAGGGTTAAACATGTTCCGTATTGCTTGCCGAAAATCTTTTAATTCAAGTGAATTTTTAAAAAAAGGTTTAGTAATAAATACTAAACAAACGAGGCATTTGAATTTACTTGAGTATCAAAGTAAAGAACTTCTCAGAGATTGTGGAGTCTCTGTACAAAATTTTGCTCTTGTTGATGATTTAAAGAAAGCGAATTCTGCATTAGAATCATTACGTTAGTATTTATCCTTAATTATTATGTATTTAATACTTGCAGGAATTTATGTTATTAATTTTATTTTTATAATTAATTCATTATAAAAATATTTTGTAATTTCCATGTATGCTTGATCTGTGATCAATGTACATGAAAATAACAGATCTTTTAACAATTATATAATATTTTTTTAAGTTACTAAAAATTCTTCAAATGAAAGTATTAAAGATTTAAATTTAAGAAAACTAATAGGAATTTTTCTATGTGTGAAAAGTAATTTATATTTCTAATAGTGTTGAAGAATAAATTTTTATTCATTAATGATTATTGTAATAATTTATTTCTGTTTATGTAAGTATCTATTCGATTTTGTTTACTAGATGCTGATGAATTTGTTATAAAAGCTCAAGTATTAGCTGGTGGTCGTGGAAAAGGATGGTTTGACAATGGTTTCAAAGGAGGTGTGCATCTTATAAAAGAGTAAGTTTGGATAATCAGTATCAAATGTGAAATGAAAATATATGTCTTACTGAATATATTTGTTAATAGCCGTAAAGCAGTTGTAGATACTGTAAAAAATATGTTAGGTCACCGTCTAATTACAAAGCAGACTTCAAAAGATGGTATCTTGGTACAGAAAATAATGATTGCTGAATCTGTAAATATTGCACGAGAAACATATGTTTGCATTCTTATGGACAGACAGCATAATGGCCCTGTTTTAATTGCTTCACCAGCAGGTGGCATGGATATTGAAACTGTTGCTGAAAAAAATCCAGAATTAATAAAAACAGTACCACTTGACATATATTATGGGATTGACGATGATATTGCTAAAGATGTTAGCATTTTTCTGGGCTTTGTGGACCCCGATATACAGCAAAAAACAATATATGAATTAAAAAATTTATGGAAACTATTTGTAGATATTGATGCTTTGCAAGTAGAAATTAATCCATTGGTTGAAACCACTGACAAGCAAGTTGTAGCGGTTGATGCAAAAATTGCATTTGATGATAATGCTCAATTTCGACAACAGGACTTGTTTGCTTTGGAAGGCAATGAAGAAAGAGATCCACGAGAAGTAGATGCATCACGATTTAATCTGAATTATATTAGAATGGATGGCAACATAGGATGTTTGGGTACAATATATAATTATACATATAATATTTTCACTGTTAAAGAAAGATACCATATTCTTCATAAATAAACTTTTGATTTGTTCTTATTTCATAAAAATTTAAACAATATCGTTTAAAATATGATATATTTAAAACCAAATATTGTTTATTATTTTCAGTCAATGGCGCTGGATTGGCAATGGCAACTATGGACATAATTAAACTAAATGGTGGATCTCCAGCAAATTTTTTAGATGTTGGTGGAAGTGTTAAGGAAGACCAGGTTTTTCAAGCATTTAGGATACTCAGTCAAGGTATGTATAATGGCAATTATAAATAGTACATTTTATTGTAATTATTAAACAAGTACAGCTGATAATAGTAGAACTAATCCGGATGTTTGAATTTATTTTCTTTTTTTGAGGTGTATCAAATTGCTTTCTTTGCAATAAAAACGAAGAAAGCTTTGTAGGCATATACTTAATCGTTTCGCTCTTTCTGACGTGTTATGTCAAGGTTAAATTAATTGCAATGCCGATACTGTTCATATAAGGGCACAGATGAAATATCTCGCGACATAATACCGCTTATACGATGCCACGAACGTGTTATCCCTCGACATAATACAGTTCGTGCGGTACCACAGCCGAGTAAACACGCGCTTCTGTTTTTGCTCGCCTATGACCTTATACAAACAGAATCGGTGTCGCGACATGACACGTCCATAGGAGCAAAGCGGTTAATGATTTAGATTAAAGTAACAATAATCCAGTTCTAACAACTGGCATTTAATAACCATAATATTCACAACTTCTCTAAATGAGAGAAAATGTTTTATAGTATTTCCAAATTAATTTAGATGATCTCTCTTATGCAAAAAGGAAGTTCAATGAAAATACTAAGGTAGTTTTACAATATTTCTTTGTGGAATAATCAATGAGAATTGGTAGATTTGTCGACAATACGATCTCTTTTATTATACACACTTCTCATTTTAATTTTTACGAAGATATTTTCCATTCTAATACGAATTGTCGTTTTAGTAGCCTTTTTCATTGCTATCGCGAAAAAATTACTGTCAGCTGTTCTTGAAAATATGTTAAGTTTAACTAGTTTAAAGAAAGTATATCGTATAAATTATTTTATTACTTTCAACTAATCTTATGTATCAATACAATTTGTACTTAGAACTTTAATAAAAATGCATTTACAACCTAAATTTAAACAATTATTAGACAAATTTTAATTGCCTTTTCTGATATCTTTAGATCCAAAAGTAAAAGCAATTCTTGTAAATGTATTTGGTGGCATTGTAAACTGTGCCACAATAGCCAAAGGAATTATTTCAGCATTTCGTAATTTTCAACTTAAAATTCCCCTTATTGTCCGATTAGAAGGTAATTATTGTTTTATTTTTATTATTTTATTCTTTTTCATTAGAATATTTTCATTTATTTGTACATGATTTAAAAAAATGATTCTTTTTAAATTAGGTACAAATGTAAACGAGGCAAAGAAACTTCTTGCAGAAAGTGGTTTACCAATTATTGCAGCAAATGACTTGGATGAAGCAGCAAGGAAAGCAGTTACTTCTGTAAAACTTTAAATTTCTTAATTTTCTTTACTATTATTTGTTTCTTACTAAGAATAAGACTGGGAATATACAAATACATATAATGAAAGAACTACAAGCAAAAAGAAGTTATAAAGTGGAGATATTAGACTATTTTTCTATTCCTTTTCGAGATTAACTTTGTTTTTCAAGACTTATTATTTCTTACAATAGATATTCTTTTTCAATTAAAGCAAATTTTTATGAGAATAGATTATACTATAACAGTAGTTTGTTATGATTTCAATGGATAAATACTCTACTATACTGTTCTTGCTGATTTGAAATTGTATTGTTCTGTCAAGCTTAGCTGAAAGATTTAGCACACATGGCCAGACAAAAATTAAGATTATAAAAGTTCTTTTTATCTTTATGTTTCTCCTTTGTTTGTATATCATTTCTTTGCATTATCAGAATATTGGCCTATAAGATTTTGACAATAATATTTATATCCACTGTACAGAAACTGAATTCACATTCATTATTATTTAACAAAGGTTTCTTATGTGAAGCAAGATGATTACAAAATAGTCAAAGTTCAGTCACTTGATTGCTGAAGCATTATTCAACCATCATCATTTTTGTTTTCCTCCATGAAAAGTTTGATGTTCTTATCCGGTTGTGTTTGGTAGATTTATACTATTTTGGAACTCTTGGGTATCTCGATTAAATTTTTATACTAGTTAAAATACTCGTACCTATTTTGTATAGTATACTTTACATATACTTCAAATACAATCAAAATGAAGAGTTCGCAACATTTTATAATATTTTGTAATATAGAAACACATTAATTAACATTTTCGGGACGTCCGTGGTCATTTGGCAACACTTCTGATAAGAGTTAGACTTAAAGCCTTCATAAAATGTTATGCACAAAGTTTAAAAAGATGTTGCGTTTCGGAACCGACCTTGAAAACTAGAAATATAAGAAAAAACACCACGACAGAAATCGATATCAATTCTGAGAACTTCATTTACGACTTACTTTATCTCGAAATTTAGGCCACGCTGTTAGTTCGTCCGAATGTGTTAAACATACTTTTATGATCATTGAACATCTAAATTTTAAGTGTTATCTACACAATTTGTGTTTTATTAATTACGTGTACACTGTTAAAAATTTTAATTTAACTTTACAAAGCAACTCGAACTGATAGATTATATACTTTTTTAATAAATATTACTTGTGTATAAAGAGGGAATAAAAAATTTTGTATGTGTATATTATATTTACGATATTTATGTAGGAATGGGAGTTTAATTCTATTACAAACAAATCCTTTTCAGATTAATCATGGCTCAGAGATTAAATTATTAACACGTAGAAAAACACATTAATTAACACGTAGAATATGTTTATTTCCCTCGTAAAAAAGAATTGATCTGAGCAGGGTAATAAAGTCAATGTTTTGAACTGCCTAAAGAGAAACTTCTATAGCATTATAAGCTTTTTATTATGACGACGAATATTGTATATTATAATGTAAAAAATTGTCCTTGAATTTTAAAATCAGTCATTTTAGCGGGAATTTTTTAATATATCTGCATCGAAGATGTACAATTGCCTGTAAAAACTGTGATAAATAATTTTATTACACTTTCTATAACATGCATTTTTGATACACTGTCAAAATCTAACATGTTATTTGAAAATTATTTTACACGTGTTTTTTATAAGGAATCTCGATAACTTATATGCATGCTGAAAATTTCATTGAAATGAGTTGACGAATAGTCAAGCTACAGCCACTGAAAGATATAAAAAAATGTTTGTTTGAAATTCGTAAAAAACTACGATTTTCACGATCTTGAATTGCTTACAGCACATATCCAGGTCAACCGATTGCGATAAAATATTTTCAGCATATATAAGTTACCGTGATCTACAAAATGCATTTTTAAAATTTTCGTTATAGGCTCAGATAAAAAAGTTGAGAAACATCATTTTTTAATTCTTTTATCATGTATAATTACAATTTTCAAAAATAATTTTTTAGCCATTGTCTAGTAGACTAGTAACTCTAACATCCCAACGTTATTTCGTTTTAAAAGGTGAACGAATACTTTCTGCATCCATTGTATTCCTAAATTTGTGGACAGGTTTCAATAGCAATATCACGTCCAAATTTTGTAAAAACTTGATCAGATTACATCTCCATAACTTTTGTTTGTGGCATACGGTTTCCTTCAAACTATCATGTTTCTTCGAATAGAATGCGTTGATTGTTACAAATAATTTTATGGTAAGTTCCTTTACATATTCTCACTAACATGTGCATTTTTTAAAATAAAAGCAAAAAATAAAAAGATTGCAATTTCAATTTTACTGTGGCGTTATTAATGATGGAGACTGACTTAGAAATCTAGGTCTCTTAAAGCAAAATTAAATTTGCGATCTTCTTATTTTTGTTTATTGAAAATGTCTACGGAGTGGATTGAGCATTATCTTATTCGAAAAAGTAGTCATCATCGGTTTATAACACCTCAATTTAATAATTTGTTAATAGCTTTTGTTTTTGACATCGACAAATTGTTTTAACTCATCTTTGGTGTCTTTTTGAATAAATAATAATTGAAGGAAACTTGTCAATAGCGTCTCCCTTAAGCTGGTAGCACATGAGGTAAATAAACGTGGCACATAATGGTTGTTTCCGTTGTATCAGTTTGAAAAGAAAATATTGGACGCATAGGGAACAATATGAGATGGATATTACACTACACTTTACAATCCTCACATTACCGTTAGTGAGGAAATGTCTGTCACAACAGTAAGTTAAACAGTTTTCGATCGTTTTCGATCATAGAATAAGAACTCAGTTTTTATTAAACATAATTATTATAATTATGGCAAATCATTTAAACATATCAATATTAATCTGAATGCTGGTTTTCAGGTTGATTATTCCATAATTTTGCAAAAATTGTGTTGTTTGTATTCGAAAGGTAAATTTTTGGTCGATTGTTAGCTGCTTCACTGTTGGAAGCAAAGCATAAAAAAATGATAAATCTTCCTCTTTTTCAACTGGTTTTATTTTCGACGTGTTGGCATTCATGTGATGCATTAATGATTGTTCAATATTAGGTTGTCTTATTCTCCTAATTATGTTATCTTGTAATGGTATTTGGAAACATTTTACATTACATTACATTACATTTTGCTGTGAATCGTCAGCCAATCACAGCACAGAAATTCCTTGGCCATCTCTCAATTCAAGAACCTCGTTGCCCCTGAATATGCTTTTTGAATTGAGAAATTACATTATGAACATATATATTATTCAATTTTAAATATTCGTTTTCTGAAAAATCATTTGGCGCACACCTGCTCAATCTTGTTGAATTTTAAAGAACGTCATATTAAAAATATTTTATAATTTTTAATCAATCTATAGACATTAAACTTATCAATTTATTGTTTATATTTATTATTGTAATTCTTAAACACTGCAAATGTCTTTGATGTGTACATCATGTGTGTCAAACATATTGTTACAGTTTTATNGTCATATTAAAATATTTTATAATTTTTAATCAATCTATAGACATTAAACTTATCAATTTATTGTTTATATTTATTATTGTAATTCTTAAACACTGCAAATGTCTTTGATGTGTACATCATGTGTGTCAAACATATTGTTACAGTTTTAA